CCTTGGAACCTTCCCAGCCAGGCTGAAGTGGGAAATTAGAACCCGAAGGCGCCAAAGAAGGGACCCGGCATTCAGGCGAGGGAACGTGATGATTTCTGGTTCAAGCTGTGTGCACTTTATGGGTTTGGCTGAGGCCATTAGGCGAGGCGCCGTCCGTGAGGTCTGGTAAAATACGGTGGGTGGCACCGTCGACTATACCGAGGAGAGAGGACACATAGCAACTCCGCGCTCAAGGTCGTGCTCTGGCGATGGGATGCTTCAAGCCTTCCCAATTTCTGTGGCTCCGGTGCGTTCAAAAGTACGGGAAGCACTTCCACCTCCGTGCCGAGCGGCAGACCCCGACAGAGCTCTGTAAAGATGCAAAGGGCGGCAGCCCACTGCGCCCCTGCAACAACTACGTGCTTGGGAATTGGGCGCTCAGAGGCGAGGGGGAGTGGGGTAATTGGTTTCGGAGCTCATGACACTCCGCTGAGAGTTCCAGGGTTCTCAGGCACCAGGGCAGCAGTCTTTTTCGGCTGCTTGCGATCACTTTCAGTTGGGCTCCAAGGATCCTGAGCTGAGTTCTAAAGCGAAGTAGTTTGGCAAAGCCGTACCAGCCACAGATCAACTGAGAGGTTGTCTAGACATAAACGGAGCTTGGATTCTGTGGTTGCGATGTGCGGTCTTCTGTCGAATCGGTGTGGTCTGGGCATTCTGGTTCCAAATACCGGGCATTCTGGTTCCAATTACCGGGGCGACGGTAGATAGAAAAGCTGGCCGTCCACGCCCAAGCCTTCATTCTCTCCCCCTGATGTCTATGTGCACCCTTTAGTTATGCAAAGCTGCGTTAAGTTAGTTGATCACCCATAGTACGTCAGGTATATGATGCAAGGACCCGAACCAGAAGCATGCCTAAGTTTAGGATTTCCCTCGACAGACCCCTCAATGACTACGTCGCCGTGCACAGGCCTCGGGCACAGGCCTGTGTGGTTGTACCGACCACGATGACCTTCATCAAAGATGGCTGTGCGTGAGGGTCTCTGCATGAGGTCATGGCCAGCCGAAGTTATCTGGGTCGCAGCAAAGGAGTCACCTACATGGAGCCCGCGCTGGGCATCAGTGTGTGCCGGTGAGAAAGAGAAAGAGAGAGAGAGAGAGAGAGAGAGAGACACGGAGACGGAGATTGGAGACAGGGCTTTTCCGATTTTGCGCTTTTGCTCAAAGCAACCCGGAGACAGAGGGGATCGCACGCTGCGATGTAGCCTTTGCGGTCCTCACTATGACAACGATGTGGAGTCTCGAGACCTCCCTAGACTACATACATGCTTTGCTGGAGGCCTGTTGGAAAGATGCTTGCAATAGATACTCAGATACTGTGAATGTCTCTCAGACGTTGCCCACCCGTTGGAAATCTCAAAACCAAACTGCAATGATCCCAACAAGGACGGCCCGGGCTTGGATCCCCGCATTGGGGTTGATGCCCTCGAGCTGAAGATTACCAAGAAGAGCCGCGGCCTGCCGAAAAAAGACAAAGCCCAGCGAGGGAGCCAAAATCCAAAGGCTGTGGGCGTCGAGCCAAGGAGTCCTCAAAAACATGTCGAAGACCCCCGGATTTCCTGCGGCCGACCCTCCACGTGGTGTATGCAGACGTATGCTATGCACAACAGTGCTCGCTGTGACCTCGGCGTTTGAACGAGACGTCTGCGCTCAAACACTTCATGTTATACTCCGGAGTGCGCGAGCGGCGCTTTATTGGGGGTGGGCAGCAATGCTGGTGAACAACTGCTGCCCACAAGCTTGCGAGGATTCGTTGCAAATTGCTCCTTAGTGCCTTATAGTGACTGTCTAGCACCTAGTGCCTCCTGTTCTACACCGCGTACAGTGCCATGCGTCCAGTTTTGGCGTACGCAAAGGGAGTCCCTGCCGCGGGAGCTTGAGATCATGTTCCGTGGCGCTCATCTCGAGGTGCCTGCAGCCACTGCTCTGCCCGGTCGCAGGCACTGAGTGCGGCCCCTGCCGTGATGATGTTGCCTGGCGGCTGATCTGAACATACCTTCGCTAAGTCAGACTCTTTTGTCCAGTTGTCCGGTGTGGAAACATACAACACACTTCGTCCCAGGCATAAAGACTGCGTCAAGCTTCGATTCCACACTGCGCGCAATCGAAAGGCCACACTTCAGAGATGGCGAAATGCAGTCATGGAGGATAATCTCTTGCCGTCACGTTGTGGGAAGCTAGCTTGTCTCGGAACTGTACACGGAACTGGAACTCAGAGAGACCCGGCAAAACAGTCACCAGCCAAAAGACGATCGAGGGCCTTCCAGCTGCCGCGGCTGCATTGCGGCTGCAAGGGCGAGGGCATGCACCCAAGCCGCCTGCCGGCTTTGAGCCTTGGTGGCCGATCTTGCGGAATGGATACAAAAGCCGCATCTCCCTCTCTTTCCCTCTCCCTCCGTCCCTCTGTCCCTCTGTGTCCCTCTGTCTCTCTGTGTGCCTCTGTCCCTTTCCTCTCTCGCTCTCTCGCTCTCTCTCTCTCTCTCTTTTTTACACACATATGTATCTATGCATCCCATCCCAAACCATTGCGTGCAACGGAGGATTGAATTGAACCTCAAGCATTCACCTTGTCTGTGAAGCAAATCCGGTATCGCTCGACACGATCAACATGCCTTGCCCAAACCACTCCGGGTCACGGCAATTGCCGTGCCATGGGCAACCACCGGATGGATCCGGCGTTCCGGTCCTTGTCCAAAGTCAACGGCCGCTTGGACTTCGCACTTAGGATCTCCGCCCTCCAGGTTTCTATACGATACCAATCAGTGTTGTCGGAGTTCAGCCCGGCCAGCTTCAAGTAACTTGCGCAACCCCCAAGCAATCTCCCAAGTGCTGCGACCGAGCACACGACATGTGTGGCCCCAAAGTCCGAAAACAACTACAAGCAGATCGTCAGAAACTTCGCCCCGACTGCTTCCATGGTGCCGACGACCGCGAGCTGCAGCGCATCCAGCCAATCGCACAACGGGGCCATGCCAATGCCATGAGCGACCAACTTTTGAAGCGGTGTGGCTGCAGCAACGTCGGGGCTCAGAATGTTTTTGCTTGTTGCTTTGGCGATTTCGGCATCCTCTGCCAGGCTCCTCGACATCAAACGTGCTGAGTGCAGCGCTTGTGCGATGAGACGTTACGTGTCCTTGCATTCCTCTGCCTCTGTGTCTAAAGCCAACGAGGCGTCGAGTCTTAGGAGATGTAATGGGATGCCTGGAGCTTGAGTTCTGCTTATGACCATGACTACCTTCTATCATTGACCCAACTCAGCGGCCAGCAGGTCCTGTAGCTTCAAGCCGACCGGCCCCGATGCAAAAGCAGGGCATGCACTGTGCACCAGCCCAATGCCCAAGTCCAAACCCGTCGACTGGATCTTGCACCAAAGATATAGAACACGTTAGACCTGAACCCAACAATGATGATCGACAAGGTATGGCCGGCAGAACCACGGCGAGGCCCAGCGCGAGGATGACACGAATCATCACCTCACACGGTTGGCGACAGCGGGTAAAATGATGCCGGGGTCTGTTGTTTTTTGGGAGGATGTTCAAAGAACGTGACATGCATGTGAACAGCCTTCGATGTCTGGGAGGGCTCGCAGCCTGCAATCTCTTGGCGAACACGTCCAGTGGAGATGTAGCGAGTATGGTCTCAGAGCACATATGCCGAAGCTCCACCTCTAAATCCACTGAGAGATGGGAGTTTCCGAAAATAGGGGACCCTAACATAGTACCTTAAATAGTAGGATCCTTATTATAAGGACCCCAAAATAAGGTACCCCTTGTTTGCGGAAACTCCCAGATGAGTAGAAACCCCCTGCTTTCGCGATGCCCCCCACGGCCCTTCAGGCAGGGACCGGACACGCGAAGGACGTAGAGCGAAATAGTTCCGCTGTGCTCCCCTACTTCGCCCGTTGCATACCAGCTGGAGCCAGTAACGCAGGGAGGTTCGGATCATTTGGGGATCAGTGCTTGGTAGCTTCCGTGTGCTGTGCATGAAGGCTTGGTCTGCAACTATGGCTGAGACTGAAGTGAAGCATGTTGAGCTTTCAGGTTGGAGGCCTCCGGCTTCCATCAATTGCAGTGGTTATGCCGGCACAGCAGAAACCGCCGGCGAATACTACTGGACGACAACTGCTCGGGCACAAATCTCGGACTTCTATCGTCACAGGCTTACGCGGCATGTGAAGGAAAGCCGCGTCGAGCTCCCGAGTCAAGTGCATGCATTCTCCCGAGACCCGGCTCTGAAAGACCCAAACAGATTAATGCCGCTTGAGACACGGCTGTTAACAGAAAGGCTTTCCTGGACCTGTGGTTGCATGAAACATGATTTCGGCTAGGGTATATGGCAGTTCAAAGGTTGCTACCACACAAAGATCCCTTTTGTACGCTCATGTCGCTGCGTTGCGAAGCTCCACCTGCGGCGCAAAGCTGGTACGGGTGCGCATGTGCTGCAATTCCGAAACACTGGGAACGTGCTAGAGCGAAACACTGTAGTAGGAATGCTCGAAAGAACCACATAGTTTAAGCAGCACCCATGTTCAGAGAACTTGGGTTGTTACAACGGGAAGGGGCAAGTCCACTGGTGGAATCCTGTGGTGCTCTCGTGCAGCCACGACTGACTAAGCATGAGGCGGCCCAAGTGAAGAGACAATCGGCGACAAAACAAAACGCAACTGCACCTATTTCTGTGTGTTTCAAGGGCCTGTTCATAGACCCGGCATACCCATACCAAACCAGCCCTCGCCAAGGAGCCCTGCTAGGAATCCGGAGCGTCGTGAAACGGGTTCTAGCACCTCCAGTACGCACCGTTAGCCAAACTCCATGCAGATGTACAGTCGAGGCAAGCAGGTCGTGCAGTTCGTCTACAGGTTCTTACGAAAAGCGGAGGAAAACATTTACAGTACAAGAGGGCCAGCCGTTCAGCAAGACCTGTACCTTTTCAACACAAGGTAAAACCTGAATCGCGGCACATGCTCAACTGGGCACCTCTTCGTGAGGTGCCGGCAGCTCCAGAGCTCTGCTCCTCAGAAAAGCGGTCCCGACTTAAGCCTGTGGAGGCGGTGGCATTGGGAATTGCTTTGGGTTCTACTGCACTTGCCTGGTCCCTCATGGCAGCGTTCGAGGTCACGGCTCGAGCTTCGACGTGATTTGCGATCGAGTTTCAGATCGCTTCAAAGGGCGGTTTCTGGATATCGTAAGACATCAAGGTTTGACAGGGGCCGTGAAGGCTTAAGCATGCTGAAGCCGCAAGCTTCGGCTGATGCAGTCCACATGCGGTGGAGGCACTGCTGGATCCTCCGCCGCCACTGGAAGAGCGACAAAACGATGAAAACGAAAAGGCAGACCGCCACGACCTGCCGAATAAACAGAGGAAGCAGGATGTCACTTCACTCATGCTTGAACTCCTTTACTCGCCATTTTGGCCCAAAGTTATGAGGCCCTTGGATTTTGGTTAAGAGGCTCCGCGATGGTTCAGGGAGGATGACATAGCCAAGATTGAGAGTATGCAGCTGAATGTAGCGGCTATTCTAACAAATGTTCAAGATCTGGCCTTGGCGGGCCTTTTCGATGTGTGGTATGTCAGCATTTCAAGAAGCAAGTCGTGCCGAATCCTCTGCCAAAACCATACTAAGAGCTCACAGCCAAAGTTGCCTTGATTCGCAGTCGTTGCCTAATTGCAGAACTACGCATGTTTCCATGGTCAAGATGCTCTCCGATCCCGGCCACTTCCGACAAATGTACCCTGCAATGCAGACCAGGGCACGCGGAGATCTGCGTACCACACCCAGGCAGGCTTCGAGACCTTAGAATGTGGTGAGTCTGGAGACTCCAGACTCCTTAGAAGAACATCTTGCCTTGTGTGACAAAATACATGGGAGTTTCCGAAAATAGGGGTGCCTTATTTAGGGGTCCTTACAATAAGGATCCTACTATTTAGGGTACCCTGTTAGGGTCCCCTATTTTCGGAAGCTCCCACATCTGAGGGGGATTTCGGAGGTTTCGCAAACCCACCCCAAGCCTGAGCCGGCCCGGGGTCTGTTCCTTGCGGATTCATGCAGTGAGCCCTGGGACCACGCCTGCCAAAGCGCATCCTGCAAACAGGCAGCAATGCCGGACTCCTTAGCAGAAGGACGGAGGCGGGACGAGTTAGGGATCAGAATCAGAAGGTTTCCGACGGCGCTCATCATGGAAGAGCTGCCTGTGCAAGCAGCGACACCCTTCCCCTTCACCTCTCTCCTCAGACCATGTTGTCGTTTCACCCTTGATGGTCCGACGCGCAGAAGTGCAACATCTTGCATTCGTCCTGCAAACACCATGCAAGTTGAACCTCTCAACATGAACCGTGTATCTATCTGTCTATCTATCAAGCGACTTATCTATCTATCGATCGATCTATCTATCTATGGCTATCTAGCTTGTCAAGCTATCGGATTCTGTATCTATCTATCTCTATCGCAGCTGTCTGTATGCATCTATCCACAGAGGCTATATTCGATGTGTAACTTCCGAAGACTGCGTAACCGTGACTACCATATGTAAAGCTCGAAGTTGCGACGAGCTTATAGATTATAGAGGCGAACCATCCCAAAGGGGCTTGAAACTGCCAAGGCAAGCCGCTGAGACGCCGTAGAGGAGGGTGCAGACAGCTGCTTGCCGGCAAGACCCGGTGCAGCCGCTACAGTCAACCTGGGTAGGATTCTAAAACTACTCGAAGGGCTCAGATCTTCTTGCGCTTACACTGTGACCCAAGACTTCGAGAACCATGCGACCGTCTGGGTTTCCCCAAACATCAGGTTTAGGGTTGCGTTAGCCGACTGGTCCGTTGCATATGGTCTTGTGTTGCGCTCGGATCTTGGCAGCATGTGCCATGTTGTCGAGCGCTCGACACATGCCGATGTTTGACCTTCGCTCTCGAACGGTCAGAAGGCGAACAGCGCCACGATATATCACGATGTACATGCACATCGCGTTTGTATGTGACGGAACAAGCAGCACCGCTTGTCTTCAGAGGTCTCATTCTCGGGCTTGCTAGAACAAGCAGGTCGCCCTGCTGCGGAGAAAGATCCTCGCAGCACCCTGGCCCGAGCACCGGCTTAGACCAAGGTGTGCGAGGTCCTCTGCCGCTTTGTGTCACGCTCAAATGACTCAGAGAATGTGGCATCCAAGAGCATCCGCACCACTTCCGCATGGCCGGAGGACAAAGCAGAAAGGAGAGCATCACCCGCGGCAGCCTTGGCGTCGAGCAAATGGCGCACCACCTCGGAGTGACCCTTGCGTGCAGCCCTTGCCAGTGCGCTTTTGCCCTTGTGGCTGACCTCAGGGCCGCTGGCTCGGAGCTTCAGGGCCGAGACAGAAGCTACTTGGAGGATCATGGGTAGTTATAAGTAGGGTTATAAGTCCCCTAATATGGGTTATAAGTATAGTTACCCTAATTATAACCCTAGTTACTAAGTCCCATGATCCTCCAAGTATGTACTCTTATCGAACCCGGGACCTGACCTTTCCAGGTCTGAGCTCCAATCAAGGCCAAGAGATTTCAGACCAGTCCCCTCCGGCCTTGTCCTTGTCTGCCCGAGCTTCAAGAAGAAGGCAGACCACTTCTGCATGCCCATGGGTCGAGGCCCAGAGCAGTGGTGTCCTTCCAGTGTTTGCTGCGTTCGGGCTTGGCTTTGGGCACATACCCCGCCAAGCTTCCGATCAATCTAAGATGCAGAAAACTCGCACCGACAGGTCGAAGTCTCTTTTCTGTCCTGTCAAAAATCGAGGAAGCGAGTTGAGAGTGAATAAAATAGCGAGCAGAGCGAGAGAGAAAGAGAAGTGACGAAGAGACAAGGATCAAAACACTTTGCAGATAAACAGTAAAAGAGGCAAGTACGTTGAGTTTTGCTTGAGTGGAGTCCGAGGCTAGCCAGATCCCCCCCTGCAGGGTCCTTCCAGAAACATCTTCCGTGTCTGCGTGGACCCTGGCCTCCAAGAGCAATCGAAGAACCCCCACATGGCCGCGGGTTGAAGCGAAAGCCGCCGGGGTCCAGCCCGAAAGGTTTGGCCGGTCAGGCTCGACCTTGGACTCCAGCAGCAATCCTGGCAGGGCCCACTTTGCCTGCAAATGCCGGGGTCTTATGATACCTTCCCCCCTCCGAGCTGATTTCACTTAGAACCTTTAGAACCTTTAGAACCTTTGGAAGTCTGCTTGAATACCCTAAGTGAACTCAGCCCAGGGGCTGACAACCTCTGCGTGGCCGTGGCTGCAGGCCCAGGCCAAGGGCGTTCGCCCGGTCCGGTTGCCGGCATTCGTGTCCACTCCAGCCTTGAGCCTCATGCCACAACTCAGTCAGGACTAACGAGAACAACCTTTTAAAACCCTCGACGTATATTGCACCGTGCCACGCGTGACCCGAAGCGCTGCTGAAACGGCCCGAGTCTCAGCTGACGAACAACTTCGGCATGACCGTCCGCTGATGCCAAAGACAAGGGGGTCCAGCCGGTGCGGCCGGCCTGGTTCCTGAAGTTCGTCGAGGGTTGAGCACGGGTTCGAGGTTTCCTAAGCAACCCTACTGGCCCTAATAGGCCCTAAGACCTGACGAAACATGCCCCAAATCTGAAAGGCTGTGTGGAAGACCTCATGGACTAAGACCAGGAACCGCTGGATGAATCTGCATGCGTTTGTTGTTGCTGCTGTGTCTTTATCAGTCTACCAATCCTTGTGATGTAATTCCACAAGAAGTATCAGTATAGCTAGGACTACGACATTAGTCATCCCGTCAGTGATGAGCACAATTCATAATTAGCTGCACATAAAGGGGATCCAAGCTGTGCAGAGAAAACTGCTGCTGTGAGCGGGTGCAGTGTGAGTGTGAGCAGTGCAGATGCCTGCGAGGGGCGACTCCTGGAAGCTCGATCTTCGCAGGAGCAGCATGAGTTCCAACACACAGAGACGTATATTCAAACACAAGCACGAGCACGAGCAGGCATACATACATACATGCACACATGCATACATACTTGCATTCATGCATACATACAGACACGCATGCATACATTGGTACGTAGGTGCGTGCTTTCATAGACACATACATACATACAAACATACATACAGACATACATACAAGTCCATTGCATTTTGGTGAACCAGGGCTCTTGTCAACCTTTGTCTGCAGCAACAGGTCGACGACTTCCACATGTCCGCTCCTGGGTCATTGTTGGAGAGGTCAGGGCCTGTTGGCACTGATGAAACTTCGGATGCACGTACAGATTTTGAAGAGGGATGTGATTCAAGTTGCAGAAGTTCAGGTACGGGGCCGAGTGTATAGATTCTCGAGCTACGACGAGGGAAGGCTTGAATCGTTTGCCGAGGAACGAAGACGCTCTCGCCAAGGGTGTATACAGATGGCGATCGTGGCGGTTCACATCCGCCTCGGTCGAGAAATACCAGAGCTCGAGGTTCAGGGCTGGGGAACTGGCTTTGTTTGCTCAACTCTAGGACACGCAATGCACATAACGTCGCTCTGTACTAACCGGGCCGGTTTCAATTTGAGCTATGTGCCTCATGAAAGATGTGAACACTGCATTAGATTGAAGGGTGAAAAGCAGTGACAGGCAAAGACGCCGTTGGCTGTTGAGGGCCCCGGACCCCTGGTTGAGAGATTCGAGGGTGCGTAATGGTTCCCAGCAGTTGCACTTTCTTACCGTTGGTTAGTAGGGAATGGAGGAATGGGGTACAATTAGAACTACTAGGACTACATTCTTCCATTCCCTACTAACCAAAGGTAAGCTTTGCGCGTGACTTGCCTCAGCCTCGAGCAGCAGGCGCACGACTTCCAGGTGCCCATCGCGGCACGAGGCAAGGAGAGGGGGCTCGGCACCTTCGAAGAACGAGGCTCTTAGTGCTTGGGCTCGTGACGTCGAAACCGAAAAACAAGTGACAAGCTGACTCAGCTGACAGGTGCTGGTCATTTCCAAGCCACCCAAATCAGGATCCTGAGGCCTCTGCAGCAGGGCCTCTAACTTCGCATGGTCGCTGTTGGCTGCCGCTGACAAGAGCTCTTGAACTTCAGACTCGGTCGTCGGCAAGAACTCCAGAAGCACAAGCTGCAGGGTCTGTTCGGCCAGCACCTCGAGCTTGGTATCGTCGGCGAGAATAGTGCCATCTCTCAGTATCCGCTGCTTAAACCTGGGACATCCGCACACAGACGACAGGTGCCGCTTCAAAGCGCGCACGCAAGCCATCTCCGGATACTCGGACAACTTTAGAGTCGCGACTTCCTTGCCCGTAGCCATCATCTGCACGCACAGCATCGAGGAACGAGCTGCGAAACGAACTGCCCACGATCCTTCTGAAGCTTTCGGGCAGGCTCGGGCCCAGCGGCTGGCGGCATTGAAAATCACTTCGACAGTTCTGACGCAACTGCTACCACCACTAGCACTGTTAGTTGCTCCGCTAGCTCTCATCGTCGGGCTCCCGAGACCCAATGACACCACTGTGACGAGAAGTGTGCGTACATAAACCAGTGCACAACATACTGCCGTTTTACCCTCAACATCACAATCGACTCACGACTGGACGAAAGCTGAACAAGCACAAGAGGTAGGGTGCAACAGTCGTATCAGCCACCGTAGCAACACGAGTCTTTACGTTCTCGCGGACGGGCGGCAGGGTTCAGGCTCTGGGTAGTGTCGCACTTGCCACCGAGGTTCCTGAAACAAGAAAGGGCGCCCCCTAGGGCCCTTGCTTCATGAGACTTACGTTAAACGTGTCGTGTCAATTGGTCTCTGGTGCAGACAAGAGAACCATGTCATATACTTAGGTGCAAGAGTCCCCTCGAGTTTCCCCTAGTGTATGCTTCTTTTACGACCAATGTAACTCAATGCATCGAATACTTGTCAACAGCGAGATCTTGCATGACATCAACTGCCGTTCCGACGGCGTTTTGGATCCCTGCACCTTCTGGGGTGTGTCGCAGACTTGTCCTGACCCAGACTAAGACCCAGCCCATAAAGAACCAGCTAAGTGTAGACAAAGTGCTAGGTGTGCAAGTCTCAAGCTTGTTACCTCAATGCTGCCTGAACAACGAAAGCTGATGCTCGCACCCTTCAGCTTCCGGCTAGTTTGCAGAGAGATCTATCGTGGGGCTCTGTAGATGTCCGCTGATAACACGAGATTGCAGGTCTACATTCAGGTGCGCTGGAACCAACATCTGAAACCGCTCAAGCTACTGGAAGCATGCCACGCCGAAAGCCTGCCGCTTGCTGCCACATTCTTAGCCCAGCATCTCCACCACCGAGGCCGCAAAGAACTCTTGCCAAAGCTGATCATCGCCGTTGGCAAAGGAGCGCGCCAGACTCTCATACCTACAAAGACACAACACTCATACCGTCACCTCTAGTAGTCTACGAGGTGATAACAGCAGATGCCGCTGCTGCTGTTTACTTTAGTCTATCTGTTCTGCCCGTCGCCCAGCTCTGCAGATTAAAGGAGATTTGCTCCCGTTCAGAATGGCAGCTTTCAGTACAACAAGGAATGTTCATTTAGTAGGCCGGAGAATCAGAGACAGGCTCCGAGGGTGATTGGTCGTGCTCAGCTTCCAATGTGGCCTACGGAGATGACAGTAAGTCTGGAACAGCAAGACAATCGAACCAGACGCGACTGCTTCAAACCCTATGTCGCCAAGAGAGAGGCCAAAACTCCGTGCTTTTCAACACACGGCCTCCTGTTCGTGAGCTCCGGCAGTCCGAAATCTGCGCGTGCGGAGTATCCCGGCCGGAAGTCGCTGAAGGCCTCGTTGAGCAAATGGCCTAAACTGGAACATGAAACCCTACCTGGTCCAAGGGTGAGATTTGCCTTATTGGGCTTGTCTAAGGCCAGAAGAACAATATGGAGTGGAGGGTTTAATGATTACAAATACTATTTTGGGGGGTTCCTTATTATAATTGTAGTCTAATGGGCCCATATTAACGTAGTAGTGTCGGAGTTTCCAGAGGTAGGATCCTTCGGGCAGCTGCCCCTGCTGGGCCTGGGAGATGTTGGCGAAAAAGCTGTGGACGTCAAGAAGTTTGAAGGTACCTCCGACTGGCTGGGAGGCGAAACTCCACAACAGAAATACGCATCAGGGCAGAAGCCTGCGTTCAAGGTGCCAGGGCGCTGGAAACCAGCGACTCTTGAAACTTGATACATGCAAGGAACGTGCCCCCTACGAAAACATAAGCCATTCTGAGAACAAGTAGGATGAACAATGACATCTACAAGTAGTGGCACGAGACGAGGAGGAGAGAGAGAGGTTCCAGCACATGCCAGCAAGGAGTATCCAGTGGAGTCTGTGGCTTCAACAAACAGCGGTCCGGCATTAAGACATGTGCGCTCAATTTTCCTGACTCTACACTATATACACCTCATAAGCTGTGCCAGGCTCAGCTGGAAAGGATGAGGAACGTAATTTCTGTTGCCCAAGCTGCTGTCCACGTCCAGGCGGTAGTATGCAGGGTTTGTGCGCTGAATGGGACCTCGTATTGTTTCACAGGAGCAACAGCCTCCCTCGTCACTATACTGGCGTCACACTTCAGCACAAGATACATGTTTCTAATTATGTAGCTAAGCTCATCATAAGCGATGTTCCCGTCCTTTGCTTGGAGCGACTCTCCACGATTTCCCGGACGTGTCGCAGACTTTCCGCTTCACCCTCACGAAGCCTGTCCTGGCCCTCACGAAACTCTGAAGACTAAACTTCGTTTGTATAAGAGCATAGGGATGAATCAGTAGACTCAGTGGACAAAGGTCCAAGATGCTGAGAGCGGCGAACATGTACAGCGGCGGTGAGGACGCCAGTGGGGCGGCCAGCTGCGAGCGGAAAAGAATGACTCCGACAATTGATGGGCGAAATCCAGCTGTGCAACTCCGAAACCAGGAGCCAAGAAAGTTCCGGCCACCGGAAGCCGAGAGAGACGATTACACTGAAGGCAATTTCCACACACACACACACAGACACAAACAGAGACACATTTCTGGAAATGGAGTCGAACGGGCTTCGGCTCCGAAGGGTCTTGCCTGGACTCGAAACTCGTCACCTGAGTGCGCGAGGGTAGGGCTCGCACTTAAAGCTCGAGCACTCAGAAACCTGCTGGGATTCGAGATCGGCAAGCGCTACCAGAGTGAAAGGCTACGCGGAGGGGGCCTCTCCTTGAAAACTTTGCAGGTGTCCTGAACCCTAAACCCTAAACCCTAAACCGCTGAAGCTTCGCCGGAATTTGAGAAGGGTCGAACCAGAGGCCCCCGTGCAGGCCCAGGCTTGGAAGGCTTGGAGAAACCGAAAGGCTGCCAGCTTCCTTAAGGACGAAATGAACCCTAAAAGGGCTCCTTTTGGGGTTCCTTTAAGGGGTTCCTATAAGGGCTATTATGGGTTTTTGTAGGTTTTAGGGTTTAAGGACGAAATGAACCCTAAAAGGGTTTAAGGTTCATATACCATATAGGGATTCATAGTATATGGGTATAGGGCCCCTACTTTTAAGGGTCATTTCGTCCTTCAGGTTTGCTCACAAGGTTCAGAGGCTCTGTTGTGGGTCCACTGCCGCGGAGACTTCTCAGGAAAAATCCTATACAATACTCGGCACCGAGGCATCCTAAATCCCGACAAACATGCCCAGCTCAAGGAACTGAAAACTGCCCAAAGGCGACAAGTTGAAGCCCAAAGACTAAACAACATAAAGGAACCTATATGCCCTCGGCAACCTGAAGGTGAAAATTCAAGCTCATGGCATCTCGTCAATCCCGGGGCATCCGCGAACGGAGACGCACGGATAAACCCTTCTTCCTCCTGCCTTACGAACACCTCTCTAAACCAATCTTCTAATATCTACCGATCCGGGCAGCCCGGTGGCGGTGCTGGTGCCCAAAAAACTGCCCTGCCAAAGCGCGGCCATACCTGGCAAACACAAGTAAGCCAAGTGCAACGCTAGCTGCATACGTACATACCAGCACGACCAAATGTATTCTACTTACATACTGGCTACATACTTACATACGGATTATGTATCAATCTAGCTACCTCCCGGCTCAGCTGCCTGCCTACCGACCGGCCTACCTGCCTGTACCATCAATCCCTTCAGGATTCCAGGATTGGCGCTTCCAACTCTGCCGCTCTCAGGCAGGCCGTTAGCATCCTAAGGCCCTCGATCTGCCTTTCAGCCGGAACCCTGAAGAAGATGGGAAGCTCACTCCCGGCATCTCTTGGACCATCAGGGTTTTGGCAACACTGCACCGTCTGTGCGAAAGATTCTGCCAGGTTGCTGTGACACCATTGACCAGTAACGGATGGCATGCTTCGGCTGCCACCTCATTCGAGAAGGGGCCGAAGGGCTGCTTGGAGGATCATGGGACTTAGTAACTAGGGTTATAATTAGGGTAACTATACTCATAACCCCAATTAAGGTACTTATAACCCTATACTTACTAAGTCCCACGATCCTCCCATTATGGGAGCTTCACCTTCCGTGTCTTACTGCTCAGCTCTGAGAGCCAAGCAATGTTTCGCTTGTAAGCGAGGTGACGACTGGTGGAAGGTGGCCCATTATGTAGACCTTCACGGGTTTTAGGGTTTAGGATTTAAGGTTTAGGGTTTAGGGTTTAGGGGTTTCCCGAACCAAACAGTTGAGTCCAATGGAAATGCCACAGAAAAAGGACAGATCGATTGCACGTGCTGTGCACCCTGCACGCCCTTTAATGCCAAACGGCTTGAAGACGGGACTCCGAAAGCCATCTTACTCTGCTGCAGTCTTCTAGGCTGTTCAGTAACCCACTGGGAAAAAGTATATACTATATACTGTTCCAGGCTTCGTATTTTATAATAGGAACCCAGAAACCTGAAAGCAAAAAAGTGTACCACTGAACAGCCTGGTCTTCTTAGATCCGTGGTTAACCAGCAGAAGATGGGTATTTGTATTGTAGGCAAAGTGTGCGGCACCCGTGGCCCAGGATGGCTTCTCTGCTACATGGAGATCCGACAGGCTCTGCATCTTGTGCCCTGTGGTCCTTAAAATCAGTATCTTGTTCGTTTCTTAAGGCGACCACCAGCCGACACCCGTACATTGCACAGCTCAGATTCTACAGCCAACCCGTAGCCGAAACTTCTGGATTTTCCTCCGAGATGCGAGAGAATGTCAGCGTGCATTCCATGTCAGAGTCTTGCAGAGGATGGCTGGTTTAGCAAGTTCCGTTGTCCGAGTTGAGCTTGCCGACACGCATCCTGAGCGAGCCTTGTAGCCACTCTGAGCAGCTGCTTTGAGCTGCCTCGGGTCATGTCGAGGCG